AGCCTGGACTCCCTGGGAAGCAGAGCATAGGTTGGTGGGAGGGATATGGGGTGATACCTGAGGACAGGAAGCAGTGGAGTCTTGGGGGGTAGAGCCCAGAGACCCACAGGACCTCAGTGAAGTTGGGAGGTCCTGTGTTCACCTGTCCGAGTCCAGTGCGAGAGACCTGCAGAGTGTAGGACTGTCCTGGTAGCGGTGTTGTTCTGCTTGGTGTGTGCATGTGTGTGTGTTTGTAGTGTAGGGAATGGCCGTGTATGGCTGGCCTATGTCCACGGCTACGTAGGTGAACCTGTGTCTGGTATGCTAGGTGTGTGGTCTTGAAGTGTTTACATGTGGTCTCTGGATGGTGTGTCTGTGAGAGAGAAGTCTATGGCTGGCTTGTGTGGAGTTGCTTTCTGGTCACTGTGTGTGTGTGTGTGTCTGTGTGTGTATGTGTGTGTCTGGTCTATGGGTGTGAGAGACACCTAAATAATCTGTGTGCGTGTAGTTTGTGACTTGTGTATAAGAGACAAGAGAGACAGGCACATATACCTGGCTGGTATATATAAGTGTAGCATGTGCACAGTTGGTCCTTGTGTGCTGACCAGGGTCACCTTGTGCCTATGTGCTTAGAAGTGACTGCTGTGGCCCATCACAGACTCCCTGTGCTAGGTCCCTCCCGCTGGCTGGCCAGGACATCAGCCTGCCTAGAACTGTGTGGTCCTCAGTGAACCAAATGTGTAAGTAAGCCTGGCCTGAGTGTGCACCAAGGGTGGTGGCAAAGCATGCCTGCAACTGTCCTGATGAGCAGCCGATGTCCCTCTATCCATCTGACCACAGAGGAATGCGCATCTCTCTGGCCCCTGGGTATCTTCTCCAGTTGTGTGTGTTTCTCGTGTGTTGGGACCTGCAGGTACATGTGTGGTTCTCAGGGTGACTGTGCTAGGGCACACACATGTGCTGGCCACTTGTGTCTGGCCACATATCTGTCTCACCCATGTGCACACCTTGTCCATGCAGTTTTGCAGTGTGGATGCCTCTGTGTGCTGGACAGCGAGTCTTTTCCTGCCTTTTGGTGTGTGACCGCACATGTGCACACTGTGCCCTGGCACCTGGACCCTTGCCTTGTACATGCTAGGCACACACTTCCACCAAGCCGCCCTAGGAGCTGCCGTCTTGTTTTGGAGCCAGTTGCCACTGCATCTGTCTGTGTCAGCCAGGGCTGGGTCGTCCTGCCCAGCTGTATGTCTGTCTGACCCTGTGTGTTTGTCCCTACTGGCTCAGAGGCTAGGGTGACAGAAGTTTGTGCTTCTGGCCTGGCTCGCTGGGGTGACTGTGTGTGGACATTCCTACAGCCCCCCGCCCCCAGTCTGGCCACCCTGGACCCGTGTTTACTCTGCCCCCAGCCAGTGTCCGCCCTGCCCTGGGAGGGGCTGACCCTCCCGTCTGTCCAGCCAGCCTTCCACAGGATGTTCCCGAGACGGCGTCTCCATTTGACATGCCCTCCCTCTGGCCAGTGGCCTCCCGTAGGTCAGGACCCAGGCGTCCAGGGCAGCGGGGGTGGGGCGGCTGCGTGGGGGGGTCCCTGTCAGGGTGAGGGAATGAGGGTGGGGGGCGGGGAAGTGACGGGCTCAACAGGTTCCGCCTCATTCCTGCCCTGCCTCTCACTTCCTGGGTGCCCGCCCTGGGCAGAGGTGGACAGAGTGAACCCCGTGGCCTCAGGACGCCTGGGTGGGGCGAGAACAGTGGACTCTGCGGACACGAGGCCAGTCAGGACCCAGGACAGGAGCAGGTCCCTGCGCCTGGTTCTGGATGCAGAGTGCCCATTTATTATCCACCCGATTCCCACCACAGCTCTACGAGCTGTCGTAACTGTCCTTATTTTCACACGGGGAAACTGAGTCCCAGACAGCAATGAGGGCAGAAATGGGCTCTGACCCCAGCTCTGCACGCAGATGCTCAAACCCTGGCCTGCTCACCAGCCTCTGAAAACGGTGCTTGTGGGGTGGAGTGGGAACCCAGGCCAGGGAGAGGGGAGAGGCCTGGTCCTGGGGGGGGCCTGGCTTGCTCTGAGTCAAAAGGGGCCCCTGGATGAAATGAATAAGAAACGGCTTTAACCGTTTCATCGCCGCGACAGATTCTGCCAAAACTTCCTGTGGCTGCGTGTGGGGGGAAGGGCCGCTTCCCGGAGGCAGGGGTGGGGTGGGGTGGGGAAGGCAGGCTCTGCCCCGCAGGGGAGGGAAAGGCCCTAAGGGCTTTGGCAAGGGTCAGCCAACCCGGGGAGCCGCCCGCCAGCTGCTTTGCGCTAAGGGGACCCCCGCCCTAGAACCAGAGGCCCCCAAACCTGTTCGAAACCCAGGGGCCTGCAGGAGGGTCCCGGAGCCCGCGAGCCCCCTCCCAGGGGCCTGAGTCACTGCCGGGGAAAGCCGCGGGGCTGACTCACAGGAGCAAGGAAGGGGGAAGAGGCTGACGGCCAGGGGACCCCTGGGATGGCCTGAGTCACCCCTAACCCTGGCTTCGCTGACCCCAGATCCCTTTGCGGGATCGCGAGCTGGAACCGCAGAGCGCGTGGAGTCTAGAACTGGAGGAGGAGCCGGAAGTGGCAAGGAGCGGGAAGCTTGGTTTCCATCGCAACAGAGGGGTCTCGGCTTCTGCGCGCGGGGCATGTGTGGGGGTCCTCTCCCCGCAGGGGCTGCCCCCTCTCGGGCTGGGGAAGCCCCGATCGCCCGGCAGGGGCCACCCAGTTTCAGGTCTGGCAGGAAGGGGTTAACGGCGGCTCTCCTCCCCCTTCACCCCTCACCGCGGCCTCCCCGCGCGCCCAGCCCCCGCGCCACCCCCCTCGCGCGCAGGCACGCACGCACGCAGCAGCCCCGCCCCCGGCCCGCGCTCGCACGCACGACCGCGTCGGCTCCACGCACGCGGCGGCTTCCGTCGTGTCTCACGTCACGCACGACACACTGCTCTAGTGCGCACCCCCGCAGGGCTGAGGAGGGGCTGCGGCTGCGGTAGGGGCTGGCTTGCTAGGTCTCTTTTGAGCACCGCCCCACCCGCAGTGAGAGCTGGCGCAAATGACAGAGACACTGCCTCCCTCCACATAGAAATGGCTCTTGACCACAGTGTCACACGGACACAAGGTACACCTGCCACACACTGCAAAACGCTGCAGCCATCCCGCCAGCCACCTGGTGAGTGGACAGCCACTTGCCATGCATGGATACGTGGCGCCACGGGAACATGGGCACGCAAGCCCCTCAGTCACAGCACTGTCATTTACAGATGCTGATAATGCCACATCATCCAGGCCGATCAGTCACAGAGCCCGGGACAGTGGGGCTTGGCTTGGTACACATCAACCCCTCTCCTGTAGAGACAGACATGACAGTCAGGCCACCACACCATTATCACAGGGTGCTCACACTATGCAAGGAGTGTAGACAAACCAGGACATACGACAAGACCATGCTGTCCCAGGGAAACACATGATGAAGGCAAGGACTCTGTCACAGGCACATAGTCTGAAGCCAGATTGTCACACAAGCCACTCGAAGGCATGGAAGCTGGGCCTGGTGGCACAAACCTGTAATCCCAGCAATTGGGAAGCTGAGGCAGGAGGATCCCCATGAGTTCTTAGCCAACCTGGACTACATAACTGAGTTCAAGGCCAACCTGGACTACAAAAGATCCTGTTTCAAAAAACAAAAAAAGACATGGAGACTAACGCAAAATCAAACCATACACTGGTGCAGTACTAGGGACAGACAGACACACAACACCAAGACACAACCAGGGTCTGCATAGAGACTTCCTGTCACTGAAACCTGGTTGTTAACACATGGACAAGGATGTGTTACAGCCACACCAGTCCTGACAGCACCCATACTGTCAAATCACATGACCACCTGGGCACCGTGGCACAAGCCTGCTATTCCAGCCCTGAGGAAGGCTGAGGCAGGAGGATAGAAAGTTTGAGTCCCACTTGGGCAACTTTAATAAGGTCCTGCCTTCAAATCAAAAAATAAAAAAGGGTGAGACAAAACAGGATCACAAAACAAAAACAAACCAAGAAACCAAAATCTCAAGACACAAGTAGATGGAGACACACACACACCTGTGCACACAATACACCTACACAAACACAAGCACGCTTCGTGTGGACTGGGACACAGGGCAGCATACACAGTATACCATGTAGGAGCGGTACCACGGCTCTCAAGGTTTCAAATGCATGGGGTACAGCTAGGGGGAAGGTGGGAGTTTGTGTGCTCCAGTTGTGGGACCCAGCCAGAGTCCCTGTCCAAGCCCTGATGAATGAATGGATCTTTGATCAGATGTGCAGCCTAGAGGGGCCACTCAGGGTCCAGCTGTGGCTGCAGGGAGGGGTTGAGTCACAGGCTTTCCAGCAGTACAACCCAGCCTAGGGCCAAGCTGTTCCTGGAAACAGATAGCAGGATGTGAGGCCCCCAAACAAGCCGGGGGCTTCTGGTGCCTACACAGAAAGGCCCCCAAACTTCGGGGTTTCCTGTACCTAAAAGCGGTGGTTTGCATTCTTTCCCCAAGTGTGGGGCACCTGTCAAAAACTCAGGGTTTGTGGCCCTCTTGTAGAATTGAAGGGCTCCATATTTCTTTTCCACGGCTTGGCTTGACTCCCAGTTTCAAAACAGGAGCTGCTGGTCTTCCCTACCAACACAGGAGCTCCCGTGCTCCCCTCAAACATGGGACTCTCTCTTGAGAGACAGCTCAGACAGAGGCTTGTGGCTCTTTGCTAAATTGAGAACCCAGGGTCTCTACTTAAGTCTTGGCTCCCTGAACATCTGGGATTCCTGTAACATCACACCAACCAACATTAGAGCAATTGAAGTAAATTTCTCTAAATACTTGGATTCCCAGATTTTTCCCTAAACATGAAAATCCCTGCGACCCCAACCCCCAAATATCCTGAGGTCTCAGTAAGTCAGGCTTCCATTCTAGGGATTACTGGCTCTTGCGCATGCGCGTGAGGGGAGAAGTTTCTCACTGGGGCAGGGTGGAAAATGGGGGACCTGGGATCAGATGTTTTCACAGCCGCTGGGAAGGCAGCCCAGTCTACCAGGAGCCTTTGGTTTCTTCGTCGGCAAAACCAGGAGTTAAAACCGCATTTGCCATCGAGATTGTAGGGGCGCACGCACTCAACTGTATGTGTATTTAAATCGGCAATGTCACTGTTTATTATTTTCTTTTTTCTTTTGTACTGGAAATCGGACCCACGACCTCGCATCTGCCTGGCGGGCGCTTACACAGCTGAGCTAAATCTTCAGCTGGTTGTTTTTTTGAGATAGGCTCTTGCTGTGTAGCCCAGACTGACCCTGAACTCGCGGGGATCCTCAAGCCTCAGCCTCGCGAGTGTGGGATTACAGGCGCGCGTCACCACGCCTGACGCAATGCTGTTGTGAACCTCGATCGTCACGCCTTCCTTTGAGGCCCCTCTGTAGCCACCTCAGGGACTGGGGGTGAGGTGCCCTCTAGCCAGCGGGTCTGCACGCCCCCTGGTGGGTCGCGGGCGGCAGGAGCTTCTGACGCCTGGAAGGGCGTAGGAGCAGCTCGGGGTGGGACAGATGCATGCTGGCGAGGCCTGAGCGACCGTTGCCTAGCTCCACTGGTCCACCTCCGTGTGCGCTGCCCTACTCTGGGAGGGAGAGAACTCCGAGTCGTCCGCACCTAGATGCCTTCGGGAATCTCCCACTCCTGAGTCCACGCACAGATCCCGGCTTCGATCGCGAGGCAGTTAAATGTCTCCCACTTGCAGGGCGAGGACGTGAAGGCGCCTGCCTGCGCGGCAGGGCGGGCGACGCCTCGGAAGGACAGTAAACACCTCTCAAACTCCAAAGAGCCGCGGAGCCCAGAGGGCCACCCGCGGAAGAGCCTGTCCTGTGGCGGGGGCAGAGTGACCCCTAGCGACGGCGCGGGCACCCGGCCGTGCCCCGACCCAAGATGGCGCGGCTGGAGGCAGGCGCGGGCGCCGGCGCGGTCACATGCTTGGGGCGGGGCCTGGGTCCAGGAGGCGGGGCGGGAGGGTGGCGCTCTAGGCAGAACGGGAGGTCGGGGCCGCTGGCGCTCGCTGGTGGCGGACCCGGAGGCGTCAGGGGCTCCTCCGTCGGGGTGGAATCCAATCGGGAGCCATGAGCGTGGACAAGGCCGAGCTTTGCGGGTCTCTGCTCACCTGGGTAGGTCGGGGGCGGGGCTGGGAACAGGTGCGCGCCCGCTCACTCCTCTCGTTCACGATCCCGGCCCTGCCTGGGTTTGCTTCTCCGTCCTGGGCTAGAAGGTGGAGGGGGTCTTGGGCCTGCAGGGCCGTTGGACTCTGGTCCAGCACCCGCCCCCGTCACGTGACAAGTGTGAGTGGAAAGGACAGGTGAGGCTCCGCCCCTTCTGCTTGGCTCACGTAGGGTGGGGGGGCACAGGTGTGTTGGCCTGATCACGTGATGCCGCCCTGACCTGGTCTCGGGGGTTTACTGGGCAGAGGTGAAGGGAGCCACGCCCCCCAGGTGTGCAGAGGCCACGCCCCCACTGCAGAGTTGGCTACTGGTGCAACAGGCCTGTTCCTGCCTAACTGGAGACTTTTGCTGGCTGGGGGAAAGGACCGCAGAAGAGGAGTGGCTCAAGAGTTACAGGCCCCGAATTTCCGCGTTGCCCTTCTCCTCTCTCCTCAGTTGCAGACCTTCCAGGTTCCGCCCCATTGCACCAGTCTCCAGGACCTGAGCAGCGGCCTTGCCATAGCCCAAGTGTTGAACCAAATGTGAGTGGGGCTGAGGGAGGAATCCTCCAGAGGGTCCCCCAGCCAGCTGATTGCTGCTTCTCGCCTCCAGAGACCCTTCCTGGTTTAACGAAGCTTGGCTCCAGGGCATCTCAGAAGATCCAGGTCCCGACTGGAAGCTGAAGGTGACAGGCGGACACAATAGTGCGGACATCTTCACAGAGGGGCAGCTAGAGAGACAGACATACCTGGCCAGGGACAGAGATTAATTCTTCTACCCAGCACCCATTTCTTGGGTACTCATCAAAAAATAACTGACTAAAACCTGCCTTCATGTGGCTTCCTCTGCAGTAATGTGGACACACAATATACACACAAACATAAAAAATAACTTCTAGCCAAGCTGAGCATGGCATGCTTGTAATCCCGGCACCTTAGAGGCCGAGGCAGGAGGATCACCTTGAGGTCAAGGCCAACCTGGACTACATATTGAAACCCAGTCTTAAAAAACAAAAAATTCAACTTTTAGTTGGGCATATACTTATAATCCCAGTTCTCTGGAAAGCTCTTCAATTCTCTAGACGGCTCTTGACTTTTAGCCCAGCCTGGGCAACTTAGTGAGACTTTGCAAGACCCTGACTCAAAAAAAAAAAAAAAAAAAGAAAAGAAAAGAAAAAGAAAAAAGAAAAAAAAAGCAATATGCAGAGTCCCTAGGTCAGGAGTAAGCTGCGTGTCACTGGGGAATGTGGAGAGGTCAGTAGAGAGCAAGAGGGCGAGAACTGTAGGAGATGAGGTCATCCAGGGTCTGGCAGGCCTCAGAAGGTGTGTAGATTCTATTTTTTTTTTTTTTTTATCGATACTGGAGATGGAACTCACAACCACACACTTGCAAGGCAGATACTTATGCAGCTGAGCTAAATCCCCAGCCCCTCATAGATTCTATTTTAAGTGCTGTAGGAAGTCAAGGATTTCACTAGAGGAAAGATACCACCCGGCCTGCCCTTAAAAAGCTCCCCCTGGCTGTCTGGAGAGGAATGGAGGGGGCAAGAGTGGAAGTTGAGGGGCTGGGGTGCAGCTGGGTGGTGAGCACTTGCTTGTCATGTACCAGGTCCTGGGTTCCACCACTGAAGAAGAAAAAAAGGTTGTATTGTGAGAGGTGGTTGGTGCAGTCATCCAGGTGAGAGATGACAGTGACTAGGACCATGTGATGAGAAGCAGCTGGGCTCTGATTTTGCTTTTGTGTTTTTGAGACAGGGTCTCACTGTGTGGTTTGGGCTGAGCTTGAACTCACTATGTAGTTTGGGTTGGCCTCAAACTTGCAGAGATTCTCCTGCCTCAGCCTGCATTGCTGGCGTCACAGGTGTGTACTACCACCACACCTGGCTTGCAATTGGATCCTGGGAGTGCACCAGCAAACATGGCCAGGGTACACAAAGGACACATGGCCAAACAGGTTACTGCTAGGGGAGGGGACCTTCAGAAAGCAGGGCCAAGCACGATGACCCAAGCAGAGAGTAAGAAGACCTGGCAACAAGAAGCAGAGGCAGATTGAGGGCAGAGCCTCTGGGCCCCTCTACAGAGAACCTCTTTCCCCAGGTTGGCAATTTGGAGAAGATCCTGCAGAGCTTGCTGGAGTACTTGCAGGACGTGAGTGACTGTCAGGCCATGGAGCAGTTGGGCTTGGGAAAAGGCTTGGGTCTGGCTGGGGATATAGCTCAGCGGAGTAAGTTCCTGTCTGGCAAGTGCAAGATCATGAGTTCGATTTTTGGTGCCAGAAAAAAAAAGGCTTGGGTCCATGAACTGAAAACCTTTTCCCTCCCTACCGCCTTGCTGCTCTCAGGTTCTGGGCCATCCTCTGTCAGAACAGCACCTCCCGAATGTGAGCCTGCTCGGCCAGTTCTCAGACCCCTCAGAGCTCGGCAAGCTGCTACAGTTGGTGCTGGGCTGTGCGATCAGTTGCGAGAAAAAGCAGGGTATGTGGCAGGCTGGAGGGAGAATTCAGGGAGCCTAAGAAAATGCACACTCCTTCCTCAAGTTGTCCTTGGGCTCAGTCTCCCCACCTTGGTCCCCAGAGCATATCGAGAGGATCATGACGCTGGAGGAGTCAGTTCAGCATGTAGTGATGGAAGCCATCCAAGAGGTGGGTAGGGGTGTGTGTGGCAGGCGATGGCGAAGTGTTGGGAGGGGACGATTCCTGGGCTCTGGTCTGCCAGCTCCAAGTCACAATCCTGCAGGCTCCAGCTCCCTCCCTGGAGGCAGATGCTGGTGGGGGCTCTGGGCTCAGGTGAGTGGCCAGAACTGATTCTGGGGAGCTGGTGGCAGGGGGCGGGAGGGGGCAGCTTCTTAACTTTCTTCAGAGAGCTCAGCTGGGAGTCAGAGTAATGGTGCACACCTGTCCTCCCAGCATGTGGCAGGCTGAGGCAGGAGGAGTGCCATGACTTTGGGGCTAGTTGGGGCTATGTAGTGAGTTAAAGGACAGCCTCAACTGCACAGTGAGACCCTGTCTCAGAGAAACAGAAACCAGAGTGCCTAGCTCATCAGAATGCCTCCCCTACCCGCAGCTCATGACCAAAGACACCCCTGACTCCCTGTCAACAGAGACATATGGCAACTTTGACACACAGGTAAGGGCAGAGAGCCTTGCTGCGGGCCTAGCCTCGTAGGTGTACTGCTCAGGCAGAGAGGCTTGTCCTGAAGCTGGTAAACCACCCCCTTCTGGGGCCTGGCCCCCTACCCAAGTCCCTGGGTCTTTCAAGTCCTAGGCCCTCGGGGCCACAGTCCTCTCTTAGATCCCAGGGGCCCGTGGTTGGGGCTCCCTCTGCCCCTAGAAGTCCCAGCGTTCCTTCTCTAGTCTTCCTGGTTCCCTGGCTCCCACTCCCCGCTGGTTGCTCAGTCTCGCAGGTACTACTTCCTGAGTGAGGAGGCCGAGGCGGGGGACGAGCTGCAGCAGCACTGTCTGGACCTGGAGCGGCAGGTGGGAGGTGCCAGGGGCCTGGGGTCCGCTGGGCTCCCCTCCGGGCTGCAGTTCACACCCCCTCTGCCTGCAGTTGGTGCTCCTGTCTGAGGAGAAGCAAAGCCTGGCACAGGAGAATGCGGCGCTGCGGGAACGAGCTGGCCGGCCCGAGGTGGAAGGCACCCCAGGCCTCACAGCCAAGAAGCTGCTGTTGCTGCAGTCCCAGTTGGAACAGCTGCAGGAGGAGAACTTCAGGTGTGGCGGGCAGGGCCAGGCAGCCCAGCAGCCTACATGGAGGCTTCAGCTCCTTCCTGAGCGCTGCTCCTGTCACCGCCAGGTTGGAGAACAGCCGGGAGGATGAGCGGCTGCGCTGCACAGAGCTGGAGCGCGAGGTGGTTGAGCTGCAGCAACGGAACCAGGCACTGACCAGCCTGGCCCAGGAGGCACAGGCCTTGAAGGATGAGATGGATGAGCTGCGGTGAGCAGAGGCCCAGGGACCTACCCCAGATTTCTGTGTGCCACCTATGCCCTCAGTCCCAGCTGGACACTGCTGCACTATCCTGACTCCTTCCATCCCTTGGCCCCACACTCTGCACCCCCGACGCTCCCAGGGCCCCACAATGCCCTGTTATGTGATGATCCAGACCCCAGGCACCCCCAGCAACTCTCTCCAGACCCCCAGCTGCAAACCCCAGCGTGCCCTGGATCCCGTGTCCCCTCCAGGACTCTACAGCTGTAGCCTGTCGTGATCCTGGGTCTTCTGCGACCTTGAAGAACCCCTGTGACCCTACAGCACCCTTAGGTGCTAACAAATGCTGTCCCTTTCCTGCTGTATGTCTAAAGACCCTTAAAGCTCTTGCATTGTAACTCCCCTGGAGCCCCCAGCTGCCCTTGGAGGATCCTCAGTCCTTTTGGGTGCTCATTACTCCTCTGTGATCCCATCACCCTTTTGTATCCCCACAAATCCATCTTAGCTAGGAGTGGTGGTGCACACCTGTCATTCTTGGGAATATCCCAAAGTCAAGCCGAGTCTGGGCAATTTAGCAATTTATGGCAAGCATGAGGTTCCAAGTTCGATCCCCAATACAAAAAAAAAGTGAATATTCCCTGAGGCTACCCTGATTGTAACTCTGGGCTAACCCTTATCTTAATGACCCCCCCCCAACACCACCAGGCCCTGGCTGACCCCGTGGCCCTCCACTCTCACGAACCCTTCACCTTGAGCCCCATCCCTTCCCCAGGCAAACACCTCCTGCCCCAAGGGAGGGCCCTGCATCCCAGCTTACTTCAGGCTGTCCCGTTGCCTGACCCCTCTCCCAGACAGTCCTCCGAGCGCGCAGGGCAGCTGGAAGCGACCCTGAACAGCTGTCGGCGCCGCCTGGGGGAGCTGAGGGAGTTGCGGCGACAGGTGCGGCAGCTGGAGGAGCGCAACGCCGGGCACGCAGAGCGCACGCAACAGCTGGAGGACGAGCTGCGCAGGGCCGGCTCTCTGCGAGTCCAGCTGGAGGCGCAGCGGAGGCAGGTGAGGCGGGGCGGGGCAGAGCAAGGGAGCCCCGCCTTCGGGCCGCCGTCACGTGAAGGCCACGCCCCCCCATTCAGTCCAGACCCATGTGGGTTCGTAAACCCACCTGCCTTTAAGCACTGTTTCCTCGGCCCTTTCCCCTGCCCGATTCCTAAGTCGCTGTCCCCACTTTCATCCCTGCAGTCTCACCCTCTTCTTGCCTCCCCACCCCCAAACCCGGTCTTGCTATGTGGTTCCCGGCAGGGTTTAACTCACTATGTAGGCCAGGTAATCTCGAATTCATGGTGATCCTCCTGCCTCACCTTGCACAGCCCTGCGATCAGGGACGTGCGCCACCACACCTGGCCTAACCCCGTCCTTCTGTACAGGTTCAGGAACTGCAGAGCCAACGGCAAGAGGAGGCCATGAAGGCCGAGAAATGGCTGTTTGAGTGCCGCAACCTGGAGGAAAAGTACGAGTCGGTGACAAAGGAGAAGGAGGTGAGGATGAAGTCCCCGCCACGCCCTGGAAGCCTCATGCAGCGGGCGGCAGTCTCATGGGCCCACGTGTGTCCTGCCTCTTCAGCGGCTGCTGGCCGAGCGGGATTCTCTGCGGGAGGCCAATGAAGAGCTGCGCTGCGCCCAGCTGCAGCCGCGCGGGCTGACTCAGGCGGGTGAGCTGCAGGACTCCGGGAGGGGGCGCGGCCGAACTTGAGCCCGCGATCCTGGGAAAGAGGCCCCTGGGGACAGGGCTGCGAGTGCACAGAGACCTGAAGATCCTCGAATTCTCCAGACCCCTCACCGGATGCCACCCCGCCGGGCCTGGAAAACTTAGCCGCGGAGATCCTCCCTGCAGAGCTCAGGTACTCCAGGCATCTGGTGCTCGGTCCACCAAGCTGGCTAGGGCCCCCAGCCGGCCCGCTGGAGTGCGCAGGGTCCACAGCCCTGGTTCTTAGTTTAGGGTTCCAGGTCCTAGTTGGGCTCCTGGGCTCCTCCACTCCCGATCCTGTTATGGCCTGGCTCAGGGAACCCGGTCCTCCTAACTTTGCGACTGCAGGATCCGTTCTCAGTACATGTGCAGGAATCCCTTTCTGGCCCTGCCCTCTTTTGGCTCTTTCCTTAGGGCAAGCCCTGGACTCAGTGGAGCCCCTGCTAGGTGCCCTGCCCCCTGTACGCTCCCACCGGCTGCTAGCCTTTCCGCGGCCGGATCCCCTGTTCTAACCCTTGAGTTGCAGCTGCAACATGATCTGACTCCTCCGGGTCAGTGAGAGCCCCTCCCAAGGCTACGCCCACACGGGGGCCACGCTCACCCTGCCTCCCCTTGGGGCTGGGCTCTTTTCCCGAGGTCCACCTGTTCCCGGCTCCAGCAGCTCTGCGCTCTGGCTGGTTCTCCTGGCTGGGCCGTCCCGGGGCCCAGGGCACCGGGTCCCACCGGGCTCACGCCTCCTGGCCCGGCAGGGAGACGCTCCTGCGGCTCCAGCTGGAGAACAAGCGGCTGTGCCAGCAGGAGGCGGCAGACCGAGAGCGACAGGCAGAGCTGCAGCGCCACCTGGAGGAGTCCAACCGCGCGCGCCACGCGCTCGAGACGGAGCAGAGGTGAGGGCCGGGGCTGCCAGGTCCGGATCTCGGGGGGGGGGAGGGGGGGCGCGGCTGAGCACTGGCGCTGAGCGGCCCCTGCCCGCAGGCTGAACCAGCAGCAGCTGTCGGAGCTGCGAGCCCAGGTGGAGGACCTGCAGAGGGCCGCGCAGGAGCAGGGAGGCCAGAGCGAGGACGTAAGTGCCGCTTCTCCCCGCCTAGCTCTCCCCTTGCTCCCTGTAACCCTCCTCTCTCTCTTCCCTGCTGCCCGCCGCCCGCCTGCCCCGTGCAGGCCATCGTGAGTACCTCGGGCTCAGGGTGGCACTGGGCTCCCCTGCTGGCTAGGGGTTCAGCCCTTCGGACCCCTCCCCACCTCCTGCTTGTCTCCCCAGCCCGCCCTGCTGAAGAAGAAGCTGGAGGAGCATCTGTAAGTAGCAGGTGGCGCGAGACTGGGGAAGAGGTGTGGGAGGTTTCCAGCGACACAGACAGGTCAGGTCCAGCAGACCAGGAAGGGATACAACGAGGAGCCACCAAGGAGTCTCTTGCCAGGTGGTAGGAAGTAAAATGATAGTTGCTTTGGTTTGTTTTTGAGACAAGGTCTGACTAAAGCGCTTAGTTTTCTCGGGTGCAGTGGAGCTTGTGATTTTCCTGCCTCAGCCTCCCGGGGTGCAGAGGTTGCAGGTGTTTGGGCCCCACACCTAGCTGGCTGTTGTTTGGGTGGATGTGGGGAGAATGGATCTGAAGGGTTAGTGTAGAAGAGGGATGATGGTGACGACCAGTGTGGGCCTCCATTCACCCCGGAACAGGGAAGTGGCCCAGGGCCACTGTGCCTCTGATGGCAGGAGGAGGGGAGGGCTGGTCCTGGGACAAGGGCATTCTGGCAGCTAAGGCACCACTGGGATGCAGGGACAAAAAGGAAGCCAGAGGGCTGGGGAGAATCCCAAGTTCGAAGACGTCTTAGGCAATTAGTGAGACCTTGTCTCAAAATTTAAAAAAAGGGCGGGCAGGCATGGAGGCACATGCCCATCATCCCAGCACTTGGGAGGCTGAGGCAGGAAGATCACCATGAATTCAAGACCAGTCTGAACTATATAATGAGACCTTGTCCCAAAAAACAAAGGAATAAGAGCCTGGGATTTAGCTCACCTGTGTAAGTGCCTGCCTGGCAAGCACAAGATAGTGAGTTTGAACCCCGGTACCTAAATAAATAAATAAACAGGAGAAAAAGACTAAAAACAAAAGTATAGAGGACGAGGCAGCCCACTGCCGTCCCTGGACTGCACACAGGCAGAAGCTGCGTGAGGCGGACCTGGAGCTACAGCGAAAGCGGGAGTACATCGAGGGGCTGGAGCCCGCCTCGGACAGCAGCAGTAAGGGGGCTTCGAGGTGGGGAGGGTGGGGTGGCCCGGCGGGCACCCGAGGGCAGTGCGGCTGAGGCCCTGTCTCCCAGCGGCACGGCGCATCGAAGAGCTGCAGGAGAGCCTGCAGAAGAAGGACGCAGACCTACGGGCCATGGAGGAGCGCTACCGCCGCTACGTGGACCGGGCACGCACGGTGAGCGTGGGCTGCCCCCCCACCCCCGCCCCCGCTCTGCCTTACTGTGCCCCACTCCCCGCCCACCACACCTCCTCCAGGCATTGAGCCTCTTCCCGCCGTCCAGGGCAGCCATATATGATGCGCTCCATGTGTCTGAGGGGCTGTGAGTACAAGGTCACCTTGGCTGTGATTCCCCCCAATCCCTAGGTCATACAGACCCTGGAGCCCAAGCAGCAGCCACCTATAGGGGCACCCCCGGAACTCCATGCTCTGAGGACGCAGCTCCGGGAGCAGGACGTCCGCATCCGACACCTGGAAGTGGGTGTCTTTGTGCTCTTTTTTTTTTTAAAGACAGGGACTCGCTGTGTAGCTCAGGGTGGGCTTGTACTCGATATGTAATCTAGGCGGGACGGGAACTCCTGTCTCAGCCTCCCAAGTGCTGGGATGTCAGGTGTGTGCCACATGCCTGGCTGGCTCCACACACCCAGGCCCCTGACTCTTGTCTCCCTGCAGATGGACTATGAGACCAGCCGCAGTCAGCGGGAACAGGAGGAGAAGCTGCTCATCAGTGCCTGGTATAATATGGTGAGCACTGTCCCCAGGGCTGTATCGGGTCCTGACCTGGATCTCCCATCTCCCAAACAAGTATGGAGGAGGTTAAATAAAAAGAGACAAATTGTATGATTTTTAGGACTCCAGGAGGGTCAAAACCCTTTAATTAAGCTCGAGATTCCCAATATTAAGACAAAAGCTTCTCTGGATCAGTCCACTTATATTAGGACCAAGGACAAAAGACAGAGAAACTGAGGAAAGCACAGGCAATGAGCAGGACCTTGGGAGTCGCTTCAAGGACATCTCCAAGTCATGAATCAAGTCAGTTTAGTAGCATTGTCTTATCATGAAGGCATGGTTGGAGTGAGACTGTAGGAGTAATCTTTGCAGCTGCAGTCTCTACCTTGTTAACTGAGGTTGGAGCCAAGTGTCCACAGCTGTGGCCTTATCTTGCCCTTTGAGGTATCTCTGGCCTCACAGGCCACTTCAGGCCAGGACCAGTGATTCACAGACGTTCACTTACTATGAATCAGCTCCCATCGCCAGGCAAGGGGTCTAGGCCTAGGACAGACTCACAGATAAACATAGAAAGCCATTTAAATCCTGCTCAGAGCCACTTCGGTAGTGGTCTCCAACAGGGCTGGAGGACTGGGGTCCCAGGGCTCCCTTGATTCAGGTCAACTACCCTCCTTCCTAGGGTGTGGCCCTGCAGCAGCGAGCTGGTGACACTCGGCCCCCTGCACATGCCCAGTCCTTCCTGGCACAGCAGCGGCTGGCCACTAATACCCGCCGCAGACCCCTGGGACGCCTGGCCTCTCTGAACCTTCGCCCCACTGAGAAGCGCTGACCTCCTTGGCCCTGCTGCCCTCTGCCCACCCAGCAGGACGAAGCTTCAGGCCTCAGCCAGCGGGGTGGCAGGCTTGTAGCTGTGATCCCTGCTCTTTGCTCCCCCAGACTGGGGACCCAGGAAGGGCAAGTCGCAGAGAGAGACCTGCTGGGTTTTTTTTAAGCAATGTGATTCTTCTCCTTGATTCTGTTCCTGGAGATAATGTGCCGTCTACTCAGAGTCTGATTTTATATTTGAGAAATGAATAATACAGATTTTAAATCTACCCTGGCTGAACTGTGGACACCAAGATGACGGGGAGATGGGACAGGGATTCAATTTTTATTTCTTTATTTTTGTCTTTTTGAGATAGGGTCTTGCTATGCAGTTCAAGCTGGCCTTGAGCTCACTTTGTAGCCTAGGTTGGTCTTGAATTTGCAATGATCCTCCAGCCTCAGTCTTCCCAGTGCTGGGATTACTGCCGTGCACCACTATGCCTGGTTTAAACAGCAATACACTCGACTCTGGTGTTAACGCGCGCCCCCTGGTGGCTTTTGAGGGCAGAAACAGACGGGAGCTGCCGGGAGGCAGCTCTAATGGATCCGAGGTCTACAATCCAGGTGGGTGGGTGGGTGCCACTGGGGCTGTGGCCAGGGCCAAGGCCCTAGAGGAGTGAGATGTGATTGGCTTCTGGATACAAGAGTCAAGTTGGTGGGATTTCCTGTGGAGCTGATGCGGAGGCAAGAGGATTCTAGAGCTGGACGTGGTGGAAATTGCCTCTTATCCCAGCACCAGGGAGGCTGAGGCAGGATGATCAACTCACTTGAGGCCAGCCTATGAGGCTACATAGATTTGGGTGGGCTTCATCTGGAGGGATGAGGCAGGCAGACACTGTGCTGGGGAGGCCGGGGAAGGACTGGGAGCTGTTTGGAGGGTGTTACCTTTGAAGCCACCATGAGAAGCAGTGGCTCATACCTATAATCTCAGCTACTTGGAGGCTGAGGCAGGAGGTTTGCAGGTTCAAGGCCATCCTGGACAATTTAATGAGATGACCTTACAAAAGGCTAGGAATGTAGTTCAGGGGTGGGACACTCTGGGCTTGATCCCGAAGACTGAGGGAAAAGGTGTGAGATCTTTGCATGAGAGTTCAGAAGAGAAAGGGGGCTCTCTAGGCCAAGTGTTAGGGCAGGGAGTACACCTGTGTAGACTTTTGAACTCAGGAGACCTCTGTGTATGGTGTAGTTAAGGCCCGGAACAGGGGGCTACATTCCAGCGGCCCCAGGCTTGATCCCCAGCTGGGGGGAGGGAGGTCGAAGGGTATTTGAGAATGCAGAGGTTTGGATTAGAGAAAGCTGTGACTTTGGGGCAGTGGGTGGCTTGTTTGTGAATATCCACTGTATTTCAGAGAGCAGAATCTGGCAAGAAGTGAGAAGGGTAGGGGCTGGCGATTTAGCTCAGCGGCATAAGCGCCAGCTCTTGCTTTGTAAGCAGGCAGTCGTGAGTTCGATACGATCCCTGGTACCGATTAAAAAAAAAAAAAAGTGAGAAGGGCCATGCACAAAAGCCAAGGCGAATCCCCACATCTCAGTACAATACCTGGTAAGAGAAGTCACACTAATAGTAAACACACACGATTTATTGAGCACCTACTACACATCAAATGCTTTAAAATCAGCATTTCATCTTCAGGACAGCTTTGAAAGGAGGCACTCTTGTCTGCTGGAAAGGAAGAACTCAGGCAGGACATACTCCCAGTGGCTGCTGAGGCAGTAGGGCTGGGAAGTGGACCTGGCCTTAAGAACTGGCTGCACAAAGCAGCCCAAGAGAGCTGGGTGTGGTGGCACAGGCTGTAATCCCAGGATTTGGGAGGCTGAGGCAGGAGGACCTCCATGAGTTCAAGGTCACAGGTGAATTCAAGGCCTGGGAGAGGGAACTACATAGTAAAACAAACCAAAAAAAAAAAAACAAAAACAAAAACAAAAAAAAAAACCAAATGAAGCGGCTGGGCCAGATCCATGCAGCCTGTGGATGCAGCCTCTGTGCAGGCACAGCAGTTTTATGCAGCCTGGCCTGGGGCAGGTGGGCTTGGGTCTCTTCCTTGGGATGCCTGGCCCCAGGAGCTCAGGGCAAGTTCTCCTCCTCCTCGCCAATAGGGCTGGGCAGCCAGGGAGGCGCTGGGGCACGGGGCCCCGGGAGAGGGGGTCCAGAGAAGGCATCGGGGGCCGGTGAGGGCACCACCGACTCAGAGCAGGTGGGGGGCTCAAGTTCCGGCTCCCGCGACGCGGGTTCCAGGAGCGGGTCTGCGCAGCCACAGTCGAGGGCCGCGCCGTCGGGGGCACATGCGCACGCGCAGCTGGCGGCGGTGGACGCCTCCGACACGCAGCTGTTCTTGCGGCGCAGCAGTGACAGGCGCCGGCCCAGTAAGGCCGTTCCCGCGCCAGTTGGCAGGAGGCGCTGCAGGAAGTCGCCGTGCACCTCTCCGAGGGGGCCCTCCGAGCCGTCGGGCCGCTGAAACTGCATGTCCTCCTTGGCCAGCCTGCGCAGGGATAGGGGGCGGAGCTGTGGCATTGGCCCTCTGTTCTTGTAGTGTGTGTGTGTGTGTGTGTGTGTGTGTGTGTGTGTGTGTTTGAGACAGGGTCTCGATATGCAGTTCAGGCTGGCCTTGAGCTCACTTTGTAGCCCTGAGGCTAGTGTCAAACTTGCAGCCATCCTCCTGCCTCAGCCTCCTGTGTGCTGGATCTTTCTTGTATTTTTTGAGACACGTTCTTGCTTTGAAGTTCTGGTTGGCATTGACTATATAGTCAAGAGGCGATCGTCCTGCCTCAGCCTCCTGAGACTCTGTCTGTCTGCCTCTCTCCCATTGCCGGATATCGAAGCCAGGATTTCGAGCATGCTAAACAAGTGCTCTGCCCCAAGCTACATCGCAAGCCCTCACTCTCTCCCTGACAGAGCAGGCTCCCAGACACGAAGTTTCTCTGGCCCCCAAATCCCTCCGTGTCACTTATCTCCAGAGATCTGGGTCCCCACAGCCTGGCCTTATCCTCTTTCTCTGCTCACACATCATCTCAAAGAATTAAAATGCTAAATGCACAGGTACCGGCTCCTCCCAGTGAATGTAATTAGGAGGTACTGCAAACATATATACTGATGTTAGGAAGGATCATTGCAGCTACCACCACCACCAACAACAACAAATCTTGCCAGGTGAGGTGGTGCACGCCTTGTAATCTCAGCACTAGGGGGAGACTGAGGCCGGAGGACTGCAAATTGGAGCCCATCCCGCGCAATTTAGCAAAACTGTGTCTCAAAAAGGGCTTAAGGGCTGGAACTGCAGTTGAGTGTGAGTGCCTTGGGTCCAATCCCTGGTAACACGCGCGCGCGCGCGCACACACACACACACACACACACACACCCTGGATCGGCTGAACCCCACTGTGAGCCCCCCCCCCAGCGCTCACGCGATGTCGAAGGTGGAGCCCTGGAACGAAGGCTGCTGCAGCAGAAAGGCGGTGGCAGCCGTGTAGGGGGCCCGCGCCTCGGTCGCGTCCCAGTACAGGTCCTTCTCCAACGTGGCCAGGTCATCGTACATCTCGTCCACCGCGAGCATGGAGACCTGGGGCCGGGCGGGGTGGGCAGGATAGTGCCGCAGACAGCTCGGGCGGGTGCAGCTGGGGAGCAGTGGGCTGGGGTAGGGCCGCCCTGGGCCGTCGCCAAGGAGGGGCTTTACCTGGAAGTTCCGGTCAATGAGGAAGTTGGTCTCAAAGTCGTCGTCGTCCTCTCCGAAGGGGTTGATGAGCTGCTCTGCGACCTGGGAGGGAACAGGGAGGCAGTGGGCCTCGGCCCGGCCCGGCCCGGCTCTCCCTCCCCCACCTCCCCCGTGCTTCACCGGCCCCCACCTTGAGCCAGCCAAAGTAGAAGAAGAACTGCAGCAAGGTGAAGACGGGAAAGTACAGGTCCAGGTTGTGGTCCTTGTACCCCTGTGCCGGGTCCAGGAACTGCCGGCCCACGAGACAGGCCAGGAAATAGCTGTACACCGCGATGGTCACCACCTGCGGGCGCGCAGAGTGTGGGGACGCCAGATCGGATCCCCGGCTGCAGGGTCACCGAGAGACCAGGTCTGAGAGTGCGTGACCCGGGGATGGGGTTTTAGCTGGCCTGCAGGTCCCCTTGAGTGCCGCTGACACCTGGTGTAAACTGAGGCACGCGGTGTTACCTGTGTGTAGACGAGGGGCACGCTGATCCAGTCGTAGTGAAAGAGCATCCCACACTTGGTCCGAAAAGCGTTCAGCTCCTGGGGGCAGACCGAAGCCAGAGTTCAGGGCGTGCGCTGTGAGTGCACTTGGACACCAGGGACAGGAGCACCCAGGTAGCTCCTATGTGTTTTGGGAGCTAATGTGCTTCCAAGCGGTCCAGTGAGGGCATGTGGTGGAATCCGCCCCATGGAAACCAACTTGTGCCTGGAGTTGCAGGGAAGCGGGTCTGGAATCCACCTCATGGGAAGGGTGTGGCCAGCAGCAGTGGACAGCCCTGGACCCACTTTCCCTGAAATTCTCTTTCTTTGGTTGTTCCTTTGTTTCTTTAGACAGGGGCTTGCTAGTCTCCAACTCCCGGAGATTCTCCTGCCTCAGCCTCCTCAGTCCTGAGATCACACCCTCGTGTGCCATTGCACCTGGCCCTGGGATTCTCTGTGAACGACCTCCTAGCAGCTCACCTCGAGGAGCAGTTTGAGGGCGCTGTTGTCGCGAATGCGGCCTTCGCGTCGGGCCTGCGCGGCCAGATTAGAGAACCACACGCAGGGCACCCAATACTTGTTGTAAGAGGAGTTCAGGTTCTCGAACTTCTTGCGCTCCTCGCGGGTCATGAATCCTGGAGGGCGTGGTCTGGGTTGCTAGCCCCACCCACCTCCCCAGCCCCACCCACTTCCCTAGCCCGACCGTTTATCCCAGCACTGTCCCGTTTAGCCCCTCCCCACCTTAGCCCCACCCACCCACCTAGCCACGCCCTCCACTGGGCCCTCACCCGCCTCGACCACGTGATCTATGGTGGGGAAGCGCTTGAAGACCGCGGTGCTGACTGACCGCAAGATGAGCACCGCGGAGAGACCGGCGTAGCGCATGAGCGTGCGCCGGTAGAGGCGGCCGCGATCGTCGCGCCCGTGCACGGTCCCTGCCACCACGCACATCAGCGCGTCGGGCAGCGGCATGCATAGGTACTGGTTCCACCAGCGGTGCACCACCAGCGTCACGTAGAAGCCTGAGGGCGGGATTGGAGGCTCAGTGGGGCCAGCAGGGTCAGGAGCTTGAGGTCGGATTCGTGGACGGGGAGCGACACGGCCCTGGGTCATAGGCACCCCAGAAAGCGGGTCAGTTTGACCACGTGGGGCTGAGCACATGGGGGTGCGACTCTGAGCTCAGAGAGGCTGGGTGCCCTAGCTGCTTGACTGTCACCTGGGATGGGGGAATCTGAGCCTAAGTGTCGGGTATAGACCCAGGGCCCAAGCGCAGGAGCATGGGGAGCCACTGGGCTGGGGCTGTGGGAACATGGACTCAGGAAGGGAGCTGGTTCTGGGGGTGTGGTGTTCATCGTGGGTACCTGGGCAGACACGGAGCCCCAGAGCCAGGGGTTGGTTCTGGGTCTGCACCCAAGAACCTGGGAAGGCTGCTCACACCATTTGTAAGAAGGGGAGGCTTGGGTCCTACGAGGTCTGCGGGGACCTTCAGGGATCCCTCTCCCGGGTTGCAGGTCAGAGGATGCAGTCCCATGGTGTCCCCGGCGGGGGCCCCTGGGGGACACTGCTAATCAGTGCAGCTATGGGTGTGTGGGTGTGGCGCTTGGTTGTGAGGCCACTCCAGGTATCTGCGGATCCGGATCCGGCCTGGGGAACCTGAGTCTGATTGGATGGGGAAGTCTCAGAGGGGCGAGGGAGGGGTTCCCCAGGAGGCGCGACGCAGTGCATTTCTCCGGAACACGGCACGGGGCGTCCGGAGTGCCTTCGCACCTAGCACGAAGGAGACCGGGATGAGGCTGGCATACTGGTCACAGTAAATGACAAGCTTCTCAAAATAGCGCTTCTGCTCTTCGGCAAGGACGGACCTGCGGGGCAGAGGGTGAGGGTCGCGGGGAGCCCCTTTCCTAGTTCCCCCTCCCTGAGACAGGGTTTTCGTCCCAGGCTGGCCTGGGACGTGCGGGATCCTCCTGCCTCGGCCTCCTGCCACTCCGCAGACCCAGGCCTCACCGGTAGGTGGCGCTCAGCACCATGTAGAGCCCAAGGAAAGTCAGCAACTCGCGCCAGAGCAGCTTGTAGATGCTGCCGCGCCACAACAGCAGCAGCTGCGAGAAGCCTCCGAAGCGGGCGTTGGCCACCCGCGCCGTGTAGGTGACGGTCATCGAGGACCCTGGCGGGGCAGGGGGAGAGGCGGTTGGCGGGGCGAGGGCCCTTGTCGGCCCCCTTCTCCCTGGCCTCCCTCCTGCAGCCCATCCTGGATCTCGACGTCTGCCTCCTGCAGCTGTGTCCCCGACCCCTCCCGAGGTCCCCCACCTGGTGGGTCCTGGGGTTCCCGTGACCAGAGCCCGTCCCGTCTCACTCACCTGGGTGTTATCACAGCCTTCCTGCTCCGGGCGTCCCTGCACCTCGGGGCCAGCGTTTCCGCCTTCCCGCTGCCCCCCGGCCTGTCCCCTCGCCCCCCCACTTCTGGGCCCCCCAGGAGGATCCCAGGCGCATCTCCCCCCGCACCCCCTGCACCCCCGGGCTGCTGGATGGTGCCTCGCTTTCCCGCATCGCCCCGGCCTGTCCAGGCTCCCTGTGGCTCTCTGCCCCCTCCCCTTTCCCCCGACCGTGGCCTTTTCCCCACCCGGGTCTCCCACCCTCCAAGCCCGCGGATCCCCAACCGGGGAGGAGCTCGCGACTGTCTGCCCTGGACCATTCTCACCTGTGCGGAGCTCGGGGCGCGGGGCGCGGGACCCGGGAGACAGGGATGGAACTGCCGACGCTGCGGTGCTGGGCGGAGGGGACGGGGAGTGAGTGTGAGCGGAGCCTGTCCCCCTGCCTGTCTCCTGCCGGTCAGGATGTGCCCGGCTGAGCCGCGGCGGCAGAACTTTGGCGAAGTCCCTCGGTAGGGGCAGGGAGGAATCGCCCTGTCCTCCAGGCCCCTCCCTGCCCCCCAGTCCCTCTCCGGCTGGTTCGACGCCTCTGGAGGTAGCGCGAGGGGAGGGGCCAGGACGCCTCCTTCCCGGACACCCACGGTGAGGCTGGGCTGCCACAGCTCCAGAAGTCACACAAGGTCACAGGGATGCGCCGGATCCAGACCCCGCTTCTGGGCCCCTGAGCGCGGCCTCGCAGGTCCGCGGCTACCCGCGTGTTGGGGCGCTGTCAGGGGGCGTGGCAAGGAGTGCCCACCGGCACGCAGGAGGCAGCGGGAGGCACGGGGGCCGCGCGCCCTCGCGGTGGCACCATGCGGCTGATGCATGCCAGGTCGCGAAATTGCCTGGTGGCCCCGTGCCTCCCCACGCACGGGCTGAGCCATCTCCCCAGAGGAAAGCGCGGCTGGGGTGGCAGCTGTGCTCAGGGACCCCCCTCGACACAGTGTGCACCATCCTGGGGTCAGGGGTGGCTCTGGGGGTCCCCAGGTACACAAGGGGCCTCACTGCCTCCTGCCTCCCGGCGGAATGGAATGCTTGTCCTCCCAGCACTGGGCAGGCTGAGGCTCCTGGAGGACTACAGCTAGTTCCTGACCGGCCTGGGCTACATAGCAAGTTCATGCCCAGCCTAAACCACATAGAGACCCGTCTCAGAAAAACAAAAAAACAAACAAAGGAAACACCAAACATTGATAAAAACATCCCACACCGGCCCCAGGTGCTTGGCTTTGGCAAGAACACACATAAATCCTGTCCCCGTGTTTGGCATAGAGTTGGAGCAGGTGTGTAAAACACCTTGAAAGGGAGCCTCAGAGCCTGTACCCCACTCTATGCCTTGGCCTCAGGGTTGCAACATACAGAAGGGTGGAGGCCCATGCTTCCAGCCGGAGGAGCATAGAGCCTGGGGCACCTCAAGCACCGTGTGGAAGCTCTGGGCAGCGTCACCGAGGCCCTGCCCTTGGGGACACTGTGTTCCCGGTTGGCAGATGTCCGCCCCACCCGTGGTAATTAGGAACTGGCTCCGGCTGCCATCCTCAGGCCTGGCTCCACTGTCCAGCTGCTGGACAGCCCATAAACTGGAGCGAGGAGACATCTGGAGTTGCACCAGCAGCTGTGGGCCACAGAGGGGACAGGTTCTCCTGCTGCACGGGTCACGTCCCTGTGCAGGCTGTGCTTACCCCTGGACAGCCTGCTCTCCAGGGCCCGATGGTCTGTGGTGTTTTTCTCTGGTGATACTGGGGAGGGAACCCAGGGCCTTCCCACTGTGCTATTGCCCTGTCCCTTTTCTTTATATTGACACAGGGTTTGAGTTTCCCAGGCTGGGCTCCAACTTGGGATCCTCAGCCTGCCTGCCTCAGCCTCCCCAAATGCAAAGATGCCAGGCCAAGGGCCTGGTTCCTAAACTCTCGTAGCTGTGGGACCTCTATGGGTGGGGACAGGTTCACAAGCCTGCTCTTGCAACAGCAAACAGTAACAGTTATTCCTTAGCAGGTCCCTGCCCGGCAGTCCTGCCACCCTCAGGTATTTCCTGTTGGAGTCCCCACAGGCAGGCACAGGAAGCCAGGGCACTTCTGTTGCCTCCACTATCCAGGTAGGGAAACTGAGGCTTGAATGATGGGGCATCAGTGGCACAGTGTGATCCCCCTCCCCCCACGTGGGGTGGTCTGGAGCCCACTTTCGACACAGCTGCACCCTTGCCCGCACCAGCTCACACACGCCCCATGTCTCAGAGGGGGACACGTCCAGGCTCGAGGCAGATACGCACATCCTGGGCGTGCACCCCTAAATGCCAAGTGCTGCTGAGTCACGCGTGCGTGCCCCCGCCCCCGCTGTGTGTCCCAGTGCCCCTTCCCCACTCTGGCCTGGAGCTGGCAGCACTCAGAGGTCATGCCCTGTCCCATCTCAGCAGGGACAATGGTGACTGCCAGGCTTTGAAGGGGGTGGGATAGGGGGATGGGTGGGGCCCCCAGGCGGGTTGGGGAGGAGACTGCGGACTGGGTATATCCTTTCACTGGGCATACCCAGGCCCGTTTTCGGGCGAGGGGACCAAGGCTCCAAAGGCAGGTTGCACGCTGACAATGCCAGCCCCAGAGAGAGCCCTCTGCAAGCAGGGTTGGCTTTGGGGTCCCCTGCACCCCATAGCTGAAGCTCTGGGGGTGGGAGTGGGGATCGCTAATCCCCAGCCTGGCTGGCCTGGCCTCTGCCCAGGATGCCTCTAATTCCCAGACCAAACAGCAGGCAGCACTGTGCCTGCTGCCAGCTTAATCTGCTCCCCGCCAGCCTGGGGCTGGCCAAGGGGACTCCTGGTTCCCACAGTCCAAGCCTCTGCAGAATGAAGCAGGGCCACCTCCGCCCGTGCAGAATTAGAGCCACAGTCCCTTACCCAAAAGATTTCCTTCCAAAACTGCCACAGTAAACACACACTTCTGTTACTGAATCAGGTCTAATACTCTTAGGCTTTCATACAGTGCACACTTGGACAGCTGTGCACGAACATGCACACACCCCCTCCTGTGTCAACAAACACAGCAGTTTAAGATGATTTTATTGAGTGAGAGGCAGGGAGAGGAGGGAGGCAACTATAGCCTCCCTCACCCCACCAGGGGGAACAGACCCCCTCCCCGCCGCCCACCCCCCATGGCTCCCCTGTACTATGGAGGACTTGTGCATGGTCCCAGGAACGGGGAGAGTGGAGGGTGGGTGTGAACGGTAGCAGCTGGGGCTGGGCAGAGGTGCTACTGGGCACTGGGGGGCTTGTAGGGCTCCAGGAGGAGGGCGGAGAAGGTGTTGACCTTGTCCGCTCCCCGCACCTCGTGGGGTAGCAGTGGCAGCTTCACGATGTGGAAGTCTTCGTACAGGTCCTCCATCTGCAGCCAGGGCACAGGGCAGAAAGCAGGGGTTAGGAGGGCAAGAATGGACAGGCAGTGGTTTCTGGGAGGTGGAAGGACCCAAGTTCAAGCCCAGCCTGGGCAGCTTAGTGCCTTAAGGAGAGCCTGGCTCCAAAGGAAAGACAAGACGGCTGCGGTTGGTGGGGCTCAGCATGGAGGCCCTGGGTCCGGTCCCCAGCACCGGAAGAAAGTATGAGGAAGGTCCCAAGGCACCTTGGCGTGCACAGGCCCTGCCAGACTGGGCGCACCTGGTCTAGGTACTTGGCCTGGATCTTGTGGCGGGCTTCACACATCTTGCAGGGCCTCTCGGGGTCGGGGAAGACGAGCTGGTTGACGATGATGTTGTGGGTGTCGATCTTGCACTTGGCCAGCTCCTGGATCAGCCGCTCTGTCTCGTACAGGGACAGGAACTCGGCGATGCACACGCAGATGAAGGTCGTCTGCTCCTGCAGCAGAGCCAAGACAGATGGGGCTGGTGGGTCCCCATTCCTGTGCTCCCAGCCTCTCCCCCACTGCGGGGCCCTGACTCACAGGGTCCTTGAACTGCTCGCTGACAGACCGGATGACGGGCAGTGTCTCCTCCAGCTTGGATGCCAGCTGGTCGGCGTTCATGTCACCGAGGCCCAGCATGTTACACATCTGTGGGGAGCATGGGGCAGGTTTACCTTGCACCGGGGCCCCTGCAACCAACGCCTGGACAGCTATGACCCACTCCCCAATCTTCCACTGACTACAGGGGTGGCCCCTGGGCAGATCCCAAGACCTGGCCAGGCCCAGCTTTGCCATTTTGGTGGCTGCTGTGACCACAGGCTTGACCTCCTCGACTTCCCATGTGACCTCCCTGGTGCTCATAAGCTGGCCCCAGTAATGTGCGCAGAGCACTGCCAGGCATGGGGCAGGCACCACCTGCACCCCAGGGTGGAGCGGGGATGTGCCTCAGGTCCCAGCCGTGACAATCCACACGCCCACTCTTGTAGTCTTGTCTGAGGGCAGGCAGGCGCATGGGTGAACCCTGGAGTCCTGCGCTCAGGGGCAGAAGGGTCGCTGTGAGCTCAGCAGCAGCTGCACAGCGAGTCCAAGCCAGCCTAGGCTACACCGCAAAGCCCATCTCCAAAAACCAAAAGCACCTGCACCATAAGAACCAAAGCCCATCTGAGAGATAAGGAAGGTGAGGCCCAGAGAGGTGAGGCAGGCGCCTGCAGCCACACAAGCAGTGGAAATGCCCCCTTCCCACCTGGTGAGGACCCCTCCCACCCTGTCGCACACACAGAGTCCCAGGTGGGTTCTGGTGGGGGTGGGGAGTCTTGAGCCTGGGCGCTGTCCCTTCTGGCCCACGTGCCTGCGAGATGAAGGGGCTGATCTGGTTCTTGATCTGCATGAGGCGGCCCAAGCCCCGCTCCACGATGGTGGGGAAGTTGAGGAGCCTGAGCGTGTGGCCAGTGGGCGCTGTGTCGAACACCACCACCGAGAAGTTCATGCCCTTCACCAGCCTGGGGGAAAGGGGGGTCAGGCCGCGGCCGTCCCTCCACTGTGGCCCCCAGCCCGCCCTGCGCCAGGCCCGACCTCATGACCTCTGCGTAGCTCATGGCCTCGTCGATGCCTGGGAAGGCGCTCATGGCCTCCTGCATCATCTTCTTGCCCATGCTCAGCATGCTGTCCTCCTCGAAGAACTCATCGGGCAGCTCTGCCACACCCAGGCTGGGGTCGATCTCCTGGGGGCCGGGGACAGGAAGAGCCCAGGCCACTGAGCCCCTTGGGTGCCTCTGACCACAGGCCCCTGATGAGGCACTGGCCCTCCCCTGGGGATACACAACCCTTTGTAGACATGGGAAAAGTACAGGCTGGCACTGGGGCCCCTGACCATCTCAAATGGCTACAGCCATTTACATGGCTGCTCACTGTCTGGATCTTATGTAAGACATAGGACCCCTGACTGTTGCCAGATCCTTCCTTTTTTATTTGAGGCAGGGTCTCACTATGTAGTTGCGCTGGCCTTGAATTCACTGTGTGTCTCAGACTGGCCTAGAGCTTAGTGATCCTCCTGCCTCAGCCTCCCAAGTGTTGGGATGACAGGTGTACCGCAATACCTGGCCAGCCTTAGTTACTCTATGGGTCACCATGTCCCTTCCCCTCATCTACTGTCACTGTCCTTCTTGCCGGGTGCTGTTATCAAGCCTGATCTGTAAGTTGCTTCTGCTTTTTTTTTTTTTTTTTTTGGGCCATGTTAAAGACTGAACCCAGGACCTTTGCACTGACCTCTATCCTCAGCTTTTTTCAAATTTTGAGGCAGGGTCTTGTTAAGTCACCAAGCTGC